TGTTAACTCGCTTGTGTCCTAAGGCCACACTGATATCTGTTTCTATCTGCAAAAAAAGTTTAATCTAGAAAAAGACAAAAGAAAAAAAGAGATGGCTACTCCTATAATATATTTAGCCCAGGAATCACCATGCAATACCTGAGCAGGTTGTAGTGGGAGAACAGGTCACTGCTGACATGAATAAGCCAGCAGTCATCAAGTCTGGAGATTTTTAGAAAGAAAGAGGAAAAACAAGAAAAGCAGCAGCATTTGTGCAAGCCCCTTTTCCTTTTGGGGCCTCACTTTCCCCTCCCAACCTTTGTCTCTTGTTTCTTTATTTTCCAGAGGCTGCAGGGCAGGGTTTCCCTCCCCCGTGTTTGCCCAGGGCTTAGCACAATGGCTGACCCCTCAAGCCCCCTGTTTCTGGAGGAGACCCCGAGGACCCGCCCCTGCACGCACTCCTTGTCGCTAGACGCATACCTCAGCCTCCCCCGCCTGCCCTGCATGGTGGGGAACACATGTAGGGCTCCTTGTGCCCACTGCCACCCAGCCCCACACCCCCTTGTGCTCACAAGCCCTGCCAGAGCCCACCTCTTGAGAAAGAAGAAATGCGGGTAGTTTGCAGGGACAGCATAGACGCCTCAGAAATGGCTTAAAGCACACAGGACTGAGCGCTCATTTAACCAAACTGGAGTTTCTGTAGTAGGTGAAGAGAGCTAGGCCAAGTCAGAGTTAAATATTTTCCCTTCTGTCTCTTTGCATCTGCCCATCCACCAGAAAAAAACAGCAGGGCCCATGCAGCACTACACTCTGCATTTGGCATGTGAAAGTGTGAGATATTTCTGTCCTCAGAGGACAGCCCAGAAAAAAAAAACCCAGGCATCAAAGAAGCCTACATTAAGCCCATATACAAGTCCAGAGACAGCTTGGAGCACAAACTGTGCCATGTCCTGGAATAACGGAAATAGCTTTCCCTTTGGCAGCTAAGTGAAAACACCCAAGACACTTTGAGGGGAAAAAAAATAAGTAAAAAACCACACACAAAGGTAACCCCACTGATGCCAGATTCCGCGACTGGACCAAGAGTGGTCCGAGGGCCAGTTTGCATGCTCAGCACAAATTCTTCCAAGCAGGGCATGCTTAAGTCTCAACACAAGTAAGCAGGCTGACCTCAGCTGTACTCAAAACCAACACATTTTTCCAACTATATGAAGAGATGGGTCTAGAAAACAGGCAGAGCCAGAGAGCCCTGGAATATTAAAATGAGGCAATGCATACTTTGGCAGGATTTTTAACATCTCTGTAAGTAGAGCAGAATGCTGTATTTCTGAGCTTCACTGTAAATAAGCAGATCAGGCTCCAATTTGGGCCATAACAGTGAGATTCAAACTCCAAGTGTTGCTATGGCAGAAGAGACTTCTGAAGCTCTTGTGTTAGACTCTGTTTCTGCTTTTTGGGAGTGAAGAGAAAGGGACATGGACGAGGAGATAAAGCCTCAACCTTCCCTCCAAGCTGTAAACTGCCAGAAAACACTCTGGGGGCTCTGGAGTTAAGTCACTTTATGCAGTTTTTTTCCTCATCCCATTACAGCATTGCTTATTTTCCCCATACCACTCCTATTTTGTAGTTGCTATGACAATTTGCAGCATTATTTACACTGTTACACACGTGCAGAAATCAAGAGACTTCTTACTTCTTCCTTTTCCAAGATTTAACAATCTTATGCCTTAAATAGGAAAATAATGCTCAGTTATGCTAATTACCTGCACTAAGTAAGCTAGTTAGATGCTCTAATCCAATGTAATTCTGATGCAACATCATCCTCAGGCACGGCCACAGCTCCCAGACTGCCTATTATGGAACAGGAACAAGCCTACAAGACCAACCAGTAACAATAAGCACAAAGCTGGTGCTCTCACGGCTGCATTGTACTCACCCTTCAGCACGTGGAAGCAATTTTGAGGGAGTTTACAACTTACTGCAAAGGGAGACTGAGCAAACAGGCAAAAGTTCAAATAAGAAGATATAAATAAGGAGTCAGCCCTGTCCTTTGCTTTTAACACATAGCCTTGACGACATGTCTTACTCCTCCTGACTACCCTTCAACATGTTTGCTTCCAAAGCTCTTCAGGATTGTAGCAGCTCTGCCAAGTCCCCCAGAAAGGCCTATAAACACCAAGCACATCTGATCCTTCAAAGTAGTCCAGAGAGACTCCCATTTGGACACTAGTAAAAGCTGAATTATTTTCATCCTGTTTTGGGTAGGAGAAACAAATGGCTGTGCATGTGTCGTCTACTTTTTAATCTGGGTGAACCAAAGAAGCACTCAAATCACATTACTGCTTGCACTGTCCAGTTACCAGGTATCTGCTGTCCCCCATCACATGCCAAACAAACTGAAGCACTAGGACCAGGTGCTCCCAAGGTGTCAGTCACGGATCAGTGACAGGTACACAGGAGCTATCAGCTTATCACAGCTGGGAATTTAGCAGTTCCACATCAATCTTTTTCTTCATTTCTTCATTTTCCAGTGGGCCTGTCCCTTCTTTTCCCCTCATGTACACAGAGCATTGCTGCTGCAAGAGCTACAAACACAACGTAACATCCATAGTCTTAACATCTAACCCACAGCAATGTGCCTGTAATCATCTTAGTGCTTATCTGAGAAACTAATGCTTTATGGAAGCAATTATATTGCCTTGTGTTAACATTCTCTGAAGGGCTAGAGAGCTCCATCTCCCTCCTCCCTCAAAAAGGCATTCAAAATATAAAAAGCAACTGGATATTAGCTGGCTCAGCAGGAGGAACCACTTGACATTCTTCTGTCAGAGGAGGCAGAAAGGGAGATTGTTGCCAATTGGAGCAGACAATCCCAGGGTGGCTTCTCATTGTGACACTACCTGTTGTCTCCATGCAGTGACCTGCATTCAGAACACTCTAGCCCCTACAACACCCGCTGCTCATAAATCAGTTGTGGGGACAACCTACAGGCTTCCCTCAAAGATTTATAACCTGGCCACTATCAAATGGGCTGTGAGTAGGCACAGCTAAGCAAGTACAATACCGTGTTGTTTCCTTCTGTGCTGGGAAATCCCACAGAACCTCACACCACCATACGTTCTTCCATGTCCCAACTTCAGAGGAAGCACACAAAACTCCCCTTGACCCAGCAAAGCTGGTGGGCCCAAGCTAATGCCCATCTTCTCCACTCTGGTTTTATTTTGTTTCTCTCCTGCACCTGGGTGAATTGCTGCAATGGAGTGAGTCAGGTGCTGTAATGGAATGTAAATGAAATAGGAAAAAATGAAAGGGAAAAACTTTGGGCGGGCTGCAGAGATATTAGGAAAAGCAAGACCAGCTGCATCCTGCAGAAACTCGTCAGCTGGAAAGTATAATACACACTTTAAAAAATTAACAGTGCAAATTCAATAGCAGGGTTCAAATTGTTGGGTGTTTTTGCTGACTGCTGCAGGGAATCCCAGCAGCCCCTCAGCATCCTGGACGTGCAGCTCACACCCCATGCTCGGGGCACCTGTGGGCTGGAGTTTGTCCTGTCCACCCCACTGGTCCCTCTTGCAGCACAAGCCTCAGGTCATTCTGTTCTCTTGAAACTAGGAATGATAAGATCAGCTGACAGAGCTCCAACTTATGCATTTATTGTCAAACACGAGCAACATTAACAGCCGCCCAGCTTTCTTGTCAGGATTAATAAACAAGCACTCCCTCAGCACTGCTCAGGCCAGCAAAAGGTCTGCTCTGAAAGCTCATCTAATGGAGGAGGGGCATTTTACCATCTTCATCCTTCTTAGAGAGGCTCTAGGAACAGCAAACAATAGTTCAGTTAAGCACAGAGACTGATCTAGAGTACACCATCAAGGCAAGTGGCTTTTATTTCTAGGTAGAAGAAACAAAAGTCTGCCCCATCTGTTACCTTAGCCCAGTTTTCCCATCCTCCTACAAATCTGACAAGGTGAATCAAATCTTTTTCTGCTAACATAACTGAGGTTGAGCCCAGAAGAAATTTCTTAGCTCTACTAGTAGAAAAGCATTTTCAAAGATGTGAGATTTTTGGACACCTGTCACTCCCAAGCAAATCTCCACCTGGCAGAGATGTACAAAGTACAGCAAAACCTAAAAGGGTCTTTAACTACTATAGATGTTAGCATGTTTCAGTGACAAACCTGCTGTCTGAGGTCTTTGAATAAAAGCTCCATTGCCCAGAGTCCATTTCTTGCTCCTTTAGGATGATTTCTCACAATATTCTGCACTGATCTGCTTTTATGATGAAAAGCCACTGACAGCCAGTCCCTGTGCAACATCAGAACTACCAAAACTACCAAGTAAACAGCGTTATCACTTCTGGCAACAAAGCTGGCCTTAGGTGACATCTTCCATGTCACATAATCCTCTAGCTACTGAACCAGATGTTCAGCAATTGCTTAGAGTGCAACAGGTGCTGCCATAGAAATAAATGGAAATATTCTCCTCACCTCGCCTTTAGAATAGTGCCCACAGCTATGCTCTGGCATTGGCACCAGTACAGCCCTTACCCTACAGTTAGCTCCGAGCAACTGCTTTGGAGGCAGAAAAGCAACACACGCTTTAGAAACATCAGTTAGTCCTTGTCCCAAACATGTGGAGGTCTCCTCCCATCATAAGAGCCTTTGGGGGAGACACCTTTTCTGTTAACCCTTCATCTCGGCATAACTGAATGAGACTCATGACTCTGTCAGAGCTGCAGCTTCACGCAGATGTTAAAAGATGAAGTAGAAAGGTCTTTAACTTTTAAGCTTTCATTAATAAAACAGCATTTTAAGGTAGCTATACTGAAAAGAATCAAAAAGACAAAGTTTTGCTAATCATTTTTAGAATACCCTGTAGTTAAAATCTCTTTATACACATAATGGCTCATGTTTCCTGGCTTGCTTTCTTGAGAAACGCATACACAGAGAGCCCTGGCATCATCGTGTGCTGACTCTCCCTTTCACGTCACGTTAACATAGTCTCCTCTTTTCAATTAGCACTTACAATGAGATGTGGGCAGATGCCCAGAAAGACCTTGACATCCAGCTCCAGAGAGAAAGAGAAGAGTTCCTCCAGCCAGAGATGGACCGCGTGAAGGCATTCAGGAAGTTAGCCACTTCCTACATCAGATACATACAGATCTCCCGTCAGCTGGAGGTGGCCCACGACCAGCTCCTTCACCAGCAGAAGCGGGCAGCAATTCGGCAAGTGCTGGATGCCGTGATTGGCCGGATCCTGGAGATTAAGAAAGAGATGGTGAACCTGGAGAATTCAGAGTTTCATTACATTGATGACATCCTGCGACAGCTAGAGCTTAGCCCGGTGGGTCTACCTCTTGTGTACAAATTCACAGAAACCTTGCCTAGCCTTAAGGACGGTCTCTGAAATCGGTGAAGTTTCACCAGATGATGTAGCTTCCTGCAGGTTAACTAGGGTACTGGGTGATTATGGCATTTTTATTAAAGATCAGAGTATATTTGATATTGGGGCAAGATTCTAAAAGCTGATCTGGCTTGATTGATCTGTTGCGTTTCTGCTTCGCCATAACAGCACAGGCTTTGTGGAGCCTTCACTTGTACATGTCCTAACATGAAGTTACATTCAGTTAGACAGCTCCACGATTAAAGTCAGCAGCTTGACTCTGCCTGATTTTAATATAGGATTAGATAGAAGATGTGCAACTGGTGACCAAGGTATAGTCTGCTTCACAGTGTGAATCACCCTGGCCCCAGGCTTCTTCCAGAGGTTACAGGTAATGCTAAAAGTTGCATAGTCTGTTTTACTAATTTGTAGTACAGTGAACTACTACAATGAGAAATCTGAGACAAGCCTCGTATTGTAAAGGAGGCAGGAGCTGGGAGTGTGTGTGACATCCAGGGTTCAAGACAGCCTGATGAATCAGAGCCCCCTAAGCCGGATAAACAGGACAATGAGACAAAGACTCGAAGCTGTGCTCTAAAGACAGTATGAAAAATGAGCTGCAAAGAGGTGGTTTCTTCTCTCGCAGACAGCCCCACCTATTGTCAAAATCAGGTACTACTTGAAAGAAAATAAGTTGAAGCTGAAATGATTTCTTTTTTTCAGAAGCCCAGTTATAAAAATTGCCTAACAGCATTGTAGCATTATTTTGAGATCTGCAAACACGTTTCTGTTTCCAGTTACATGTGTATTTCACTCTGCACGTTTAGGATAGCAGTCACCATGAATTTTCACCAGCTCTTTACCTTCTGTTTTAAACTCTGAGAAGGCATATTAGAGAATATAAACACCTCTTTGGGGAAATGAGCCTTCAAATCATATTTGGAAATCACTAAGCACTGCTCTTTTCATGACTTATCAGTAAAACCACCTGCAGCAAAAAGTTGGCCAGTCTCTAAAGTCACACTTGACATCCATAAAAAGCAAAAGTTTAAATTCCTGCACCACACCCTAATTTAAAGAAGACATGCCACACCTACCTACTTTGGGAGCGGGGGGGGGGGGGAAGACCAGAGAGATTTCAGGCTTTTTCAAAGAAAACATTGTTTTACATAGTAGAAAGAAATACAGATAAAATAGTCACATATTATACAAAAATACTGGAGTCAGTTTGGGGCCCCTCACTCCAAGAAGGACATTAAGGGGCTAGAGCGTGGCCAGAGAAGGGCAATGAAGCTGGGGACGGGACTAGAGACCACTAGAGCGTGGCCAGAGAAGGGCAATGAAGCTGGGGAAGGGTCTAGAGCCCAAGTGTGGGGAGGAGCAGCTGAGGGAGCTGGGGGTGCTGAGCCTGGAGCAAAGGAGGCTCAGGGGAGACCTTCTGGCTCTGCACAGCTCCTGACAGGAGCCTGGAGCCAGGGGGGGGTCGGGCTCTGCTCCCAAGGAAAAAGCAAAAGGACAAGAGGAAATGGCCTCAAGTGGTGCCACAGGAGGTATAGGTTAGACCTATGGGAGCAATTTCTTCCCTGCAAGTGTTGTCCAGGCCTGTCCCAGGCTGCCCAGGGCAGTGGTGGAGTCCCCATTCCCAAAGGGACTGAAAAGCCATGGAGATGTGGTGCTGAGGGCCATAACTTAGTGAGGACCTGGCCATGATGGGTTAATGGTTGGAATTGATGATAAAGGTCTCTCCCAACCAAAACAACTCTATGATTCTAACTACTGGCCAATATTTAACAAATAACTTCTATTACTTAAATAATCTTCCCAAAAAGGATATCTCTAGTCCTTCCTTTCACTGTATTATCATGGGCTACAATCCAGCAGAACTGTAGGCAGAGAACACAACATTGTAGTCTTTCTATCTGACGCAATGGTGGTACGTACTTTTGGTATGTCACTGGGGCCAAGCTTCGTCTTTCTTTAGTTCTGTGCCATGTGTTTTTGTACAGTTGCCTTCCAACACTCAGTCACTCAATTTCCTGGTGTAATGGTAAAGGTATTTGGAGACAAATCCCATGTGCAGAGAGGAGTGGCTAAAAACCTGCCAATTTGATTTGCAAATAAACATCACAAGCCTAACTTTACAATGTTGGGCCCCAAAAATATTATGAGGAGAAGCAGGCTCCCTACTCCCCACCCCTTCCAGCCCCAGTATTACAGCTTTGCTCTCATCTTCACAGTTAGTAAAAGTTATGGTCAAGAATCAGTTGTCGTTGAAGGCCAGGTTAGACATCAGAGATGCTCATCACCCCTACACTGACTGACTCAGTGCTATCTGACAGCATGAAGGCCCTCTCATCCTATGCAAGAGTGTCCGACAAACCACTTGATTCCTTATGCCTAAAGACAGACAGATTTTTAATCCAGCCTAGAGTTCTTTATACTGTTAAAGTACAACATATAGTCATTTTCGTCAACAACTGAGGATGGTGGAAGTTGCAAACAGAGGGCTTAAGAAGCCAAATATTTAGAAACTGTAGCAGATCAGACATCTGCATTGATAAAATCAACAGAGATGAACACAGTCATACTTGGAAACTTCCTTAAACTGCCATAATAGGGATATCCTGGTCTGCACAGGGTGTAACCACAGGAATTAGCAATCACAGAATGGTAGGATGAAATCTTCAAGTTGGCAGCTGACAAAGGCTGTTTTCATTGGCCACACTTCCCTGCAAATTCTTGCTCTAGGAATTGAAAGGCCTCACAGCTCACAAGCAGTACATTTACCATACGCCTGCATCAAGGCAGGAGTGGTGCTTGTTCTTTACAGCCAACCCTTTCCTTCTCTATCTATCCATACCAAAGCTGGCACCGAGGCTGCAAAGGATCAGGTCAAAAATCTCCCTGAGCAGGCCAAAGCCCACCAGTTTCCACAGCAGACAGAACAGAGAGCAATGACAGCGTCAGGTCTTGTGCCTGTCTTAGGCTCATTGAGCAAAAGGAGCAAGTGTCCTGGGGATAAATGATTGTTTAATTTGACTGCACAGCCCCTCATGAGTAGCACTGCAGGATAACTACTGGCCCTCTTCCCCCATCCCTCCTCCTAGCCTTTGCTCAATGAGATGTTCCAGACATTCCTGAAACAGTGTATAGAGAACATGGCTCCAGTATGAACCAGACCTATGAAGACACATTCCCTCTCCCAAAGAAATATACTTGCCAATAGTTATTCTTGAAGAATTCCAGTTTTCAGTACAAAGAACAGGTTATGTCACTCTGTGGCATCTTAACTTTTGGCGAGTTTTTGTCTGCCTCACTTTGTCTTCTTTCATTTGTCAACAAGAGTGGAATCCTACAGGAGAAGAATCAGTAGAAATATGAATCAGTTATATCTTTTTAATTATGGGAATGAGTGAAGACAGCCATTTCTAATCATGCCAGATTGAGAAGTGACAGATATCACAGACTGTCGTAGTACCCAAGCCACAGTCACAGACTGTGAAATACCTGTAGACAAACAAAACTATGCTTTGGTTCCTTAAATGGTTAAAAAATTGCAGGAAAATTGATCTATTTTTCATGTTGATTTAAAAAAAAAAAAAAAAAAAAGGTGGAGTAATCATACAACCAGAGGTATTCAGCTCAGTGGAAATAATGTTTAAATTTCTGGCAACCCTGCCAAATATTTTAACAGTTTGATAATATAATTGAGCCATTATAAAATGAAAGATTTCTGGGCTGCCATGGTTCAGAAACTGAGTTGATTTATTTGTTTTTGTTGAATTAAGCCTTAAGTAATTGCAAAGTAACAGCTCAGCAGCTGTTACAGAGGTCAGATTCTCCAACACTCTAAAATATTTAACAATCTCTGTCCAATTTAATTGCCTTGTAAATGTATTCAATAAATAATGTGATTTTGATGCAGTTCTAAAAAGCATCTCTTGCCTCTTTCTTCCTTTAGGAACACTTAGAAATACCTATCCCAAGGTATTTCATTAAAGAAAGGCTGGAAGTCCTGCAACAGAGGGAGAAACTCCTTGATGCGATTTTGCTTGATGCTGGATTGCAGACACAGGTAAGCATACCACATACCTACCTAATAACATGCTTAACTTGTTTAGTTTATAGCCACACATCTGAACACATGAGCCACTGAAGGGAAAAGTATTTTTATAGAGGTTAGAAAGTAAAAGTCTGTTTACAGATAAGGCACAAAGAGAAAGTAATGTTACTGTCTAACATCCAGCCACAACTTGAGTCTGGTTGAGACTCAACTGAATCGGCTCTGCTTTAGGCGTGTAAGTGTCAGAGAAAGGGCAGCACCTTGGCCAAGCTTAGCAGGCACTTTGTTTGTCCAGCTAACTCTCATCACGTAATTAGTCCTACTGAAATCAAGTTTGGCTTAAGTTGTACTAAACCAGGACTTCTAACTGGCACCAGCAAAACTCAGCGTTCAGGTCAGCACAACTGTTACTGTTCAGTTGTTTATGGCCTCCGAACAATGACTGCAGTCTCCTCTGTACAGCTATACAGCTGCAGCTGCTAGGAGGAGTAGAAAATCGAGTTTTGGCAGAGCAAAAGTCATTACAGAGAAGTCCATGCATGCTCTAGTGAAGACTGTTCTGGTTTTGATATACTTTTGACCTTTTAGAAATGGTGCATTGCCTACAAGCAGCCATTGCTAACCCCTTGAAATAACAACTGTGCATACATGTCTAGATGCCTCAGATGTTACATAGATGTTACAGCCATAAGAGACAGTTCCCATCAGACCACTTAGTCAAACTGTGTGTTGATCCCACAAAGCAGCCAAGGGGAGGTTTCCAGGGAAAGAAACCACCAGTCAGACAGAGGCAGTCTGCAGACACAGGGCACAGGCTTTTTCTCTGCTAGATTACTTCAGTGGGCAGGTACAGTCCTCTTGGCCTCCACAGTAAATCTCTGGGTACATTCTCTGCACTTCCAGTAGTCTCATATTGGTCTGTGGAAAGCCTGTTTCAGCACACTACATCTTAAAACCATTTTGTTGCCCACAGTTCTGCTCTCACCCCCTTTCAGCGTGGCATCCATAACAGAGGAGATTATCTGGTGTGCAGCCAGCTCACCTGAGAGCTCCAGGCTCTGGCACGGTCCAGATTTCCCTTGCCAAGATGCCACAAGAGAGGCAGAGGATTCAATAAACATGAATAAAATAATCTCACGCACTATAAATCCAGTGCCCTGTGCTACATTTACAGTTCAGTTACTGCTGGGATTGCTAGAGGGTTGTTAGCCCTTCTGCATGTGCTGTAACAAGCCATGTACACTCAGGAAATCCTATCTGTTGTGTAACAAGCCACTGTATTCTTCAGTGACCGTGGCAGGGCTGTTACAAGCAGTTTAATACATACCAAAAAGAGTGGAGTTCAGAAGAGGCTGCTTTGCAGATCATTTGACCTTCCATGAAGTTCTGTTATGGAGAGCCCTGCTGAAAGTGTAGAGTAGTGAGCTCCACACAATATATATAGAAGAATTCAATGGGAACTGTCTCCAACAGAGGGATTAATGTCAAGAAAGGACAATAATTCAGCTTTTCCCTGGGGAGTGTGAGGGGTTAACAGCTCCAGGAGTGAGAATAGGGAGCTCCTCTCCCCAGCTTTACTGTTCTGATATATTTCTCCCACACCTCTGCACTTCGGCTGGACTGGCTCAGAAGAGCTTGTCCTTCCATTCAGCAAGAGAGCCGAGGTCCCAGCAGCACATCCAGAAAACCATCCCTTCAGAAAAGTAAAAGGAAAATGCTCCATAGCCCAAGAAAAATCTCTTTTTATTAGGACAAAGCACTGTGATTCTGTCTTATTCAAGCAAGTTCAAGCAAGATACATAAGCCACACAGAGCTGTTCTTGCTTCAGAAAAAAAACATCTCAGAAAAATCACATCTCTCAAAATATCAAGCTTCCAAGATACTGCAAGATAGCACTGAGACAGAAGTCTCTTCTGTTTATGACAGGGATTATTTTGTCTTAGGAAAAAAAAAAAAAAAAAAAACCACAAATGTACTTCCTGCAAAAACTTTTCCACTGAGGTAACTGCCATTGAGCAGGACAAGGGCAACAGGCACCAGCTGGAACCCAAGAGGTTCCACTGGAACAGGAGGAAAAAATTCTTTGGTGTGAGGGTGCAGAGCCTGGAGCAGCTGCCCAGAGAGGCTGTGGAGTCTCCTGCTCTGGAGAGATCCCAAACCCTCCTGGCTGTGACCCTGGGTGACCTGCTGTGGGTGAGCTGCTGGAGCAGGGGGTTGGATGGGATGATCTCCAGAGGTCCCTTCCAAACAATGCCATTCTGTGTGATTCTGTAGGAAATTAACAAAACACTAATATTTTGCTTTGCCCATTTCTTTTTGGCTGTGACGCTGAAGGAACCTGTCCAGGCCATGACATTTGAAGAAGCCACTAAATTGATCCAGATTGCTGAACGGGCTCGCCAAGGCCGTTGTGAAGCAGCATTCATGAAGCAACTTAACTTTGAAGACAAGAGAGACAGAGAAATTAAGCATCAGGTTGAGACAGGTCTAAGTCCAGATGCTGCTGCCACTTGCATTCAAAAGGTGAAACCTCTGATGTAATAACAGTTCTGGCAGAACCAAATGACAGTGCTTTGTTTAGAAGAACAGCAGTAGACAGCAACACAGCTCATAGGGTGGGGAGCATTGTGATATGATAGGTTTCAGGGTGTCTACCAAGGGGAAATACATCATTTAAACCCCTTTAAAAAATGAGACAGGACCCTAGATGTGAAATCAATGGAAAGAGTCCTGCACCGTCAGTGCTAGATGACTTTATCACTTATATGTTCTTTTTCCATTCTGATTTTTATGAGCTCATTTGTTCTTTCTGGCATCCCCTTGGAATTCAGTGCATCTCAGAATTCCTGCCGTCTATGGGGAAAGAGATGAAAAGGTGACAAGGGGAGATCACTGCTAAATTCCAGAAAAAAAGACCTTACACATGAATAATTCAGACAATTGAACCTGAGAAATGGAGCTCAGTCTAAATCATAAGTCTAAATACTTTACAAAACCCTGATGTTATTGTGTTTAGAAACTAAATAGACCAGTGTGGGGATAACAAACCTCAGAATTTGTTTTTTTAAAAAAATATCAGATGGCAACCTGTTAAAGAGTAATAGTTTCAATTCTATATTGTGCCTTTCCTTCCTCTATTTGTTTTTTCCTGTGTCTGCCACAGTAAAGGAAGCTGTAACAAGGCCCATTTATCTCATTAGAGCTTTGTTTACAATTCAGGTTTGGCGTGGATATATCCAGCGCAAAAACACAGAGAAAATGAGAGAAGAGGAAATGATATTTCTGGGGATGGTAAGTAGTGCTGCCTAGAGAATATAAAATGCCACAGTCTGTTTGTTCTTCAGATTTTGTAATTTAGCAGAAGATGAGAAATTAATTTCTAAGATTCCTCCTATTTTAAAAGGAGTCTCTAAGGAATACAAAACTCAACTGGAATGATAGATGGCACAGAAATAGGACAATTTGTCTTACTCTGCATGCTTTTGTGCTATGTATGCACATAGACGTGGAAACAGGCAGTGCAGAATTTGCCCCAGGTTCTAGGGAATTTGACCCAGGCATGACAGAGCAAGGAAATTGTATTAATCAGTTTTTAATTCATAATTCGAAGACACTTGTGCTGCCTTATTCCTAGAGTAAAATTAAAACAGAAAAGCTGCCTTCTCCCACCTCTTTGCAAGACATCACATATGTATGTGAAGAGTAGGGAAAAGGGAATTAGAACTGCCATATTAATACATTGATATTGAGAATCATAGAATCCTTTAGGTTG